AGACGCATCATATATCAACTTTCATTTCTTCAACTCCCAACCGAGCCGTGCCGTTCCCACTGCCTCTGGTCACTTTGAAGATTATTTATGCTTCATTTCTTTAGGCATTCATTTCATCCAAGTCAAACATCATGTCTTCTTTCTCTTTGCCTCTGGTTTGAAGTGGCACATTTTTCAAGTTCTTACATGCCTTATTTTTAGAAAATAAAATTAAATGAAACTATAATAAATCTTCTCAATCTTTTCTGTGTCAGCAAAAACAGTCAACTGTATTCAAATATAAATCAGTCAGTCAAATCGGAAGAATCTGAACTATTCTGTCAGCATTTTAACACAAAAAAATGGTGGTGCTGAATGTCAGCTGGTTTGCAGTTATGTTTTTTTTTTTTTTTTTTGCAGATAAAGGTCCTGCTCCCTGCTACGAACAATGCCTGTCGTCAAAAAAATGTTGCAGGTGGTTTGTTGGGACTAGCTCTTCTGTGACCATGCTTTCTGTTTTTCCCTCAAAAACACTGAGGGGAGCAAAATATAGAAGCAAAAAGAGAAAAAGAGGAAGCAGAGGTCCCACCACATCTGTTTGATGGCATGCGACTGTCGTCCTGTTAATTCTCTGTCTGACCCCCAGACAGTGACAAGGGAGGAAAAAAGGAGGTCAGTTTCCACTCCTCGTTTATCACTGACCTTGACAAGTCAAGCCTTGAAATTTCAGGGATTTTTTTAAATGGCATGACTGAACTGCAGTTTGGTGTTAGGAACTTACACATCACTATAAAAAAAACTGGGGTCAGTGCAGTCATGTGGAGGTCACATAAAATTAGTGGATTTCTGTTATTATCTCAGAGGAACTTAGAAAAAAAAGTTTTCAGTTTCTTGTCAGACAACAACAAAAGAAAACTTATTTGCATCAAAAGAACAGCAGGGAAGCTTCTGCTTTGGACTTGATGGGATTTTTTTTCACAAGTAAGCAGAGTAATGTTATTTTCCAAAGCAAAAACAAGATGGGCAACAGTGTAAGAACACAATTCAAAGTTTCTTGTGAGCAGAAAATATTTAAAACCTTGGCATGGCAAAAAAAAATAAAAAATCCTAAATGCCATATTAGCACAGTTGGTAATTTGGAAGATTACCCTTATTCTTTCAGCTTTTCCCTCAGCAAGTCATCCTCCTCCATTTTACTCTGTCCTCTGTATCCTCTGTCCTCACTCCAGCTACCTCCATGTCCTCTAACTGTATCTATTTATATTCTCTTTGTCTTTTTCCTGGTAGCTGTATTTCTAACATCCTTCTAACAATATACCCACTGTCCCTCCTCTGGACATGTCCAAACCATTTCAGTCTGGCCTCTCTAACTTTATCTCCCAGTTGTTCAACCTGTGCTGTACCTCTGATGATCTCATTCTTAATCTTATCCATCCTTGTCACTCCTAAGGAGAACCTCAACATCTTAATTTCTGCCACTTCCAGTTCTGTCTCCAGTCTTTTTGTCAATGCCACTGTCTCCAGACCATACAACATAGCTGGTCTCACCACTGTCTTGTAAACTTTTCCTTTGACCTTTGCTGACATCCTTTTGTTGCAAATCACTCCTGAAACTTTTCTCCATCCTGTCTGGACTGTCTTTTTCACCTTTTTACCACACTCCCAATTTTCCTGGACAGTGGACCCCAAGTACTTGAAGTCCTGCACCTTTGTGACCTTTGCTCCTTGTAGCCTCACTGTTCCACCGGCCTCCCTCTCATTCACACGCATGGACTCTGTCTTATTATGGCTGACTTTCATTCCTATTTTTTCAAGTGCATATCTCCACCTCTCTAAGTTCTCTTCCACCTGCTCCCTGTTCTTACCACAGATCAAAATGTCATCTGCAAACATCTTAGTCCATGGGGATTCATGCCTGACCTCATCTGTTAGTCGGTCCATCACCAGAGCAAACAAGAAGGGGCTCAGAGCCGATCCTTGATGCACTCCCACCTCCACCTTGAAGCTATCTGTCACTCCTACAGCACATCTCACCACTGTCCTGCTGTCCTCATACATGTCACGTACCAGTCTAACATACTTCTTTCCCACTCCAAATTTCCTCATACAAACCACACCTCCTCCCTCGGCACTCTGTCATATGCTTTTTCTAAATACGTAAAGACACAATGAAGTTCTTTATGACCCTCTCGGTACTCCTTCATCTGCATCCTCAAAGCAAAGATGGCATCTTTCTTGGCAAGAAACCATACTGATGCTCGCAAAATGTCACCTCTCGTCTAAGTCTAGCTTCCACAATTCTTTCCCAGATCTTCATCTTCATCACCTCACCAACTTACTTTGGAAGATTACTAAATCTTTCAAAATACCAACTCCTTGAACTCTTCCAAAATACCAACCCCACTCAGTACAGCATTGTTATAGAAAAGACAGCTAAACCTTAAGGTGCCAAGCATATTATTTCAAAGCCTATGTCCATATATGACTAATCAGGCAAAAACAATTACAATACCACTGTCACTGCCAAAATATTGATGCTAAAATATACAGTATAAAGATAGAAAAAAGTGATTTTATATCTTTACACAACCAAGATCTTTTAACAAAATTTAAGTAGTGTTTTTAGTGAGTGTAGGTGAGATTGATGGCATAATCAGGATAAGTATCTGTTACACAGGTTTAAAAGGAGTCAACAATTTATCCTCTGCTGACCTGTTGGTATTCCTGGCAGACATCTGGTTGAACCAGAGTGTTGGCAATCTGCTGGAGATGTGGCTTCAGTAGTGCTGTGGAGCACCCTCGCAGCACCGCAGCCAGAACCATGAGGGGCGCCCAGGGGTAAGAGGAAGAGTGAGGAGCTGTTACATGTCCAAGCAAAAGCTTGAGGAAGACAGGTGGAGGAACAAAGGTCCCCATCAGTTTAGCAGCTGCCAAGCACTGGTAGTGGGCACAGACAAGAAAAGAGAGATGAAACAAACACAAAAAAGGGAGTGTAAAAGGAGGATAAGGATGGGAAGTAATTTTATAAATTCAGCACACATCAAAGATCCACACAATCCACCAACATAAACAGGTGCATCCCAGGTCTTTGAAACCCTGATTGTCCCAGACTAAACTAAGAACAGTTGATAGACTAGTGTGGAAGTAAAACTGCAGATTCAATAAATGTTTCATGACATTACTCCATCTCACTGAAATTTTGCCAAACATTCTACTGGAGCTTTGCAAAGGTTGGGAAATGTGGTGACACATAAATAGAAACCATAATGTGACACATGACATCCTGTTATTCTGATGAAAAGCTCTTTGGGACTCACATTGTTGACCACATCCCTCTCTGAATCTGTACAGGCCCGGTAGAGCATGGCCAGCAGAGGCTGCAGGTGCTGAGTGATGTGGTCCTCAGCATGCAGCAGCAGCACAGAAAGAAGCTGTGAGGTCCTGACCCGTGTCGGCACCAGCCAGTCAGTCAAGTCATGGGTGATAGCTGGTACCAGCCTCCCCAGGTTTCTCACCACCAGTTCTCTGCAGCCCAGACCAGGACGTTCTACTGGAGGAAAATCCTGTTTTATTTACTTGTTTTTAATTGGAGTAGCTGAAATCACATGTCTTGTCAATATTTTTGTTACAAGGTGAATTTTATAAAATAAGACCAAGATTTTTCTATAAGAAACTTGCCCAAGCAAGTAAAACACATTCTTACAAAGCCTGCTATTTTTCATTTATCAGACCTTCTGCCTCTTGTAGAGACACACTGATGAGAGATTAAGTGAAGAGTAAAGAAAGACTGGGATAAATTAAAGAAGCAAATCACAACAAGAACAAACAAGACCATTATGGATTGTCTTTCGCCATCTGACTGTGACCCTGGGAGGGCTGGTAGATTTTGGATGTGTGTAATAAGAAAGACAAAAAGGAAAGAGAAAAAATTACTTATTTTTCTTTTCTTTCTTGTCCATAGACCACTATTTATCCTTAATGTGACAAAGGTAGCTCTAAATTTTCAAAAGAAGCTTTAATGTACAGAAAAGCATGGAATGACACACACTTATCCTGGCCCTTAGGGAAATTATTGTGACCATGTTGAAGTTCATGCTCATTCTTGACCCTCAGGCATTAGACAAGCACTTACCTTTCCAATCCAGTGCCTGTCCCAACAACACAGCTGTCACATAAAACATAGTTTTAGCCTACTATGTTAAAATGTAAAATTAAGCATAAAGTAGGACGTAAAATTTAATGACAAGCTCTAGTTTTACATAATCTGATGTGCAGCAGGAGAGCCATGTACAAATGCTCTATATATTTTTTTTTTAACTAGAAAAGTTATTTCACTTTGCAGAGTTGGAAGTCTTTTTATTTATTTATCACATGCCACATCGCTGTATGCTTATCTTAAAGATTTAGTGAGAGTAGTGTAGGAAGATTTAGCAGTTGAATGTGCAGATTACAATTACAAAACCTCTATCAAACTACAAAGGCTGTAAAAAATTCAGTGACGTAACAGAGGGACTAGAAAGAGAACTTCTTTTTTTTCTATTCATATGTATACCTTTTTTATTTTTTTACACTGAAATCAATATTAATTGAAACACTGAATGAAGTGCAAAATAGCTGGGAAGAAAAATAATTTTGTCCACTGACTGACCTCCTAAGGGGTAGTGAGGAGGTGGGGTGAGAAGGAAGTCCAACTTGTCCTTTATGTCATCCTCATTCTCCTTCTCCCACTGTGTGCCAACCTGCTTCCATAAATCAGCAGCTAAAAGTCTGTAAGGATGAATGAAAACACTTTTTTTCTCGTTACGCACCATGTCCCACCAATAGTTAAAAACATTAGTGCCGGTACACGTTTCTTTTTAGGATGAAAAGATATATTATTAAAAAAACTTTTTCAGGACATGCTGGCAAATGATTATAAACTATATAATATAGAATATTTGTATTGCACTGTAAAACAGAATAAACAGTAATAAACTAAGCTGTCCAGACTAACCTTATTTCTTGTATCTCATCAGTGATGCTGCTCAGCAGAAGTGGAATGAGTTTGTGGAAATAGGAGTAACGGTCTCTCATATTTAAAAGCCAATCACCAACAACTACAGTTACTGCTTTTCTCACCTAAATCAAAAGATAAAAAAAAAAAAGAAACAGCCGAACTTAGCATTTGTTTGTCTCATTTGAGGGGTAAAATTCTATATCTCATTTTACAGCTGAAAATTTTTGATTTTTTAAATGACAAACCAAACTCTGAAGTTACAAAATGAGATTTAAAAAAAATCAAACAGACATAAGGAACTCTGCTCAAACATTTTTAAACCACAAACTTCACCTGCGGAGAATCATCAAAAAGTCTTTGTGCCAAGTGCGAGAGTACATCATCCACATTTTTTCCAGTGCCATGCTGAATGACCGCCCCAGTGGCTTCAATGACTGACACTCTTACTCGGGAGTGCTGATGAGTTATGGTCAGCATGAGAGGCTTCACAAGACTTTCAGCTTGCATGTGAAAATGTTCTGGAGAGCGATGTGGAAAAAAAAAAAAAAAGACCTGTTAAGTGTTGATTACATTATTTTATTTTTTAATTCATTTTAATATACAACACTTATTCTGAGCACTACTCAAGACCTTTGCTCAAAACTTTAGCAATAAATGTTGGCATCAACCAACAGTTGTTTGTTAGTTAGCAAATTTTTAATGAACCATACGACGGGTTTTATTGAAGATTTCAGAATCATAGGCCACACATCTGCCTTGATTAACTTTTGGACTCCATTAAATTCAAAATGATCTCTACAGCTAATCAAGCTTTCAGTTACTTTTACTGATATTCAGCTAAATTTTTATGCGGTGTAGCTGAGAGTCATCTTTAACACAAACTTTGAGAGTGAGATCTTGCATCATGTTTTTATTGTATTTTTTTCAAGTTTAGACCAAAATGGCTACAAATCAACACATGATCTTAAGTTTAAAACTTTTGGCATGAAAGGTGGTGATACGCATTCTTTCAAGTTATCCTAGTTCTTTAATTTTCTCAGATTCTTTGTAGCAAAAAAAAAAAAAAAAAAATTAAAGCACTTCAAATTTTATTTTATTTTCCTTTCAAGGAGCCTGAGGTTCCTATAATCTTCTTACGAGGTCCTAATCATATATCCAGGCTTCCTTATAGGTTTTCAACGTTTTTATTTGCACCTTGATTACTTTTTTATTTACACATTTTTAATACATACACATTTCAGTCTGTTTTTAAAGGACTGAAAGACTCAAGACTTTTGCACAGTAAAGAGCTCTAATAATTGTGTTTCCATTTTTTTTTATAAATGCTTCTTTTCATGAATTGTTAATTTGTAAAGGTCTTTATGCCTCAGTTTAAATGTTGGTGTATAAATATAATATACAGACATGTTCTTGTTTTTGTTTTCTACAATGCCTTACAACTTAGCTGTTTTTTTTTGTTACTTTTTTTTTTAAACACCATTTTATTTTCACTTGTTATTCTCAACTTGTATGCTGCAGGTGATCGGCTGCAGCCTTCCATCCCTCCACGACCTGTACGTCTCCAGGACTGTGAGGCAAGCAGGTCGGATCACAGCTCACCCTGCACACGGTCTGTTCGAACCACTCCCCTCAGGCAGGAGGCTTCGGTCCATTCGGACCAGAACCTCCCGCCATAAGAACAGTTTCTTCCCCTCTGCTGTTGGACTCCTGAACACTCATAATGCTACCTCATAATTTCTGCTTTGGTCACATTACATCTGTATTATAACTGAATACTCCATCTGTACTGTTCTCTAAGCTTTTTTATTGTTTTCTATTATATGGGTGTACATATGGTTATGTTATGTTTTTAATTTTACTTTATTTGTGGGTGTACACAGGCTTATGTCTTATGTAATGTTCTCATTTTTACTTAATTTTTACTTAATTTTTACTTAATTTTACTTTACTACTATTCGCACCTTATGTCGAAGCAAATTCCTAGTTTGTGAACCTCGTTCATTGACATGGCGATAATAAACTGATTATAATAAACTGATTCTGATTCAATTGTATGCATCCTTTAATGATTGTCTTATGTTGTCTTTGTTGTCATCACTCTTTGTTAAAACCAGGTCTCTCTTGTAAATGAGTCTCCGAGGCTCATTGAGATTAACCTGTATAAATAAAGGTTGAATGAATAAATGTAACATAAATGATCACAAAAACGTTTTATTCGCTCTAAACATCTTGTCAAATTGTTTGAATTTAAAAATGGTATCCTATGTTATTATGATTGCTATAATTACTATTATTATTATTTAATCAGTGATGGGCAGTTTAGTGGTCTACTACAGATGAACTGCGCGCATTGCAGCTGCGCAGTACAGGAAATGCAGCTGCCCGCGTGCTAACACCATGGTAACAAACTAAACGACAAAAAAAGTCCACCAACCTGGCACACACTTCGCAAAGATTACAGTGCATTTGCAGCTTTCTCTTTTAACATCCGGGAAAGGGTCGACGATGGTTCTCTGAAGAATGCTCATAATTTCGTTCAGATAAGGAGCTAAATGCTTCCCGCACACCTCAACCATCAGAGTCAACATCTCCACGGCTAACAGTCGAAGCTCCTCCGCCGGCTCTAAGATCTCCTTCTCCCCAAAGCGATGAGCCAGGCAGGGCAGAAGATAAGGCAGACATTCCTCAGGGTTGGGAACACATCGAATAAACTCAGTCATTGTGACAATAGTGGTTTCTCTGCATCTCTCCATCGGGTCTGACAGACATTTGAGGAGAGGCTTGAGGATGGCAGAAAAAACCTCCTGTAAGACGCCGCTGGAAAGTCCTTTATCTATCGTCTCTTTCTTTATAAACTCAAGAGCCCTCTTTCTTGTCGCCTTGTTGTCCTCGTTTAGGCAGTTCAGATGTCGGTGGAGTCCTCTCAAAACTTCAGACCCAGCATGTTCATCTCCAGCTTTCTCCATCGCCGCCATCTTGACTGTCGTTATGGTAACCGGTTTCTGCACGACAAACAAATGACTGCTTTACGATAAGAAATTCAAAATCTCAAACTTTATTTGAATGAACAAATAAACGTTCCACTTTCCACTACTAGAAGAAACCACGTTAAAAATATAATCTAAAACAAAAAATGTTTTATTATGGCAAAAAGCAAATATTTATATAAGACAATTTAAAATCTATTGGGTTGCTGTTAAATACAAAATAATGCACATTTTAGTTTTTTTTTTTTTACTTTTGTGAAATCATACCTTAATTACTTGAAATAAAATTAATCAGACATTATTGTTAATAAATATTTAAAAACTATTACATTTGTATGGCTTTGATTTTTAATTATTATAAATGAACATGTAAAGTAGATTTACAATATTTGTTTACTTCTGAGTTTCATATTAAATAATTTGGCAATCATTTATTCTAAGAGTCACAAATTTTGATTTTCAATAAATAATTATTTATAACAACAACAACAAAAAAGGATGTATATGTAGTTACACTGTATTATTGAGCATTTGCATGCTCAAAAAACTAGTGGTGAATATAAGTGAACCACGTTATTAATTTTATTTTTACAGAAGTTTTTGTTGTTGTCGCTGTATAATATGTTAAATGCAACGAAACAACTACTCAAATGGTTCATGTTTGCTTTCAGTTTAAATAAAGTTTTAAAATATTATATGGTAATAATAAATAATAAGTGCTATGTGTTGTCATCATTGTATGTTCCCATACAAAGATGAAATTGGCTTTCAACATTTGGCCCATTGTGCCTGGGGTGCACCCAGGTGGGGCGGTGGGCGTCTATGTGAGCTGCCAGGGGAGTAATTTGAGATTGGGTGACCTGCTCAGAGACACCACGAAATGTGCAATGGCTGAGGATCGAGCCCGTCCCAAGTCAGCTGCCCTGCCCCTGCACCATCTCAGCCCCAATATAGCAACCTAATATATGTACTGTTTATATGTATACTACAGGTATACAATATTCTGATGTATTTTATATAAATAATTTATTTTTTTATTTTGTTGAATTCCTATTATTTGTAATTTTACTACAATTATTTTGTTTCATATAATGAAATGTATGTAAGTTCTGTATGTAGACATAACCAACTGCTCTGGAATAATTTTCATGTGGAATATTTATTATTCAAATTTGTAATAAATACTTGGAAAAAAGCTTTGCACTTTTTTTTTACATTTGCTTTTAAACAAATACCCAGGTTTGGATTATTGAGTATGAATCATTGATGTTTTTGACTCACTTTGGCCATGACTGCCTCAACTCAGTCGTTGGGGGAGAGAGCGGACTCCAGAAACCATCTAAGCACCATCAAACTGGTTGACCCACTATGTGAAGGTGCTATTTATAAGACTGAGATTTTTGCAGCTCCTTGGACTGATGAAGTCTTTTGGATGAAACACAAAAGGTTTCAACAAAAAGAAGCCGTCCATAGAACTTGACTTAATTTTGTTGGACTTTTTTGTTGTTTGTCTATTTCCTTTTTTCTTTCTTGCATAGGTTTTTGCGTGATTGCTGCTACTGTCATTGGGAGAGAAAAATCGTCAATCTAATACATCGTTAAATAGACTGAGGTTCTTCAAAGCAAGTGTCTGTAACTTAAATCTGCCAAGTCAAAAGCAACACATTGTTCATTCAAATGTCAAGGTCTAAAAATACATTTTGTATACTTATTAAGGACTTGTGTTTTAACATAAAATGGACGAACTGTAAGCTGTGAATGTAAACAACTACGTCATGGAAATCCGAATGCTAATATTGACATTTTAACCAAGCATTTAGAAAAATTGTGTTATAATATGTGCTACAACGGTCTGCCTTACAATACGATAGAGAAGCTGACAGATTGACGTCATCGACCCTGACGCAGAGCGGACGGAGAGCAGCAACAGCATCCCAGCTAACAATCGGTACATCATCTATCTCCCACCACCAACGAGGTGTTTTCTCACTGAGCAGCTTCCAGAAAAGTAATAAATAAAAACGGTAGGAGCACCAGCGAGTGTACTGGCAGAACTGCTAGTTGTTTACACCAGGCCCTTGGTTTTTGTCAGTTGCAGTAATTTCCCTTCGTTTTGGTTTGACTGTCATGGTAAGGTTAGCAAAGCTAGCTGTAGCTGAATGCAGTTGAACAGGTGCTCAGTTTTATTAAAAAACAAAACAAATGACACAATTTGTAAGGTTAAATTGTTACGTTTGGACACTGCTGCGCCATCGTTTGTGAAGAAACTGCACTCATTGGATGTCATTATGCAAGTCTTATATGATAATGATTAGTAATGCAGTAATTACCAGAACTGTAAACGTGCTATTCTCTTGAGGAAGAGAAACAAGGTGGTTAACTCTGCTCCTCTTCCTGTCAGAAAACAGATTGCTTCAGCATGTTATGTGATTTGATTTTCGTTATTATTTATTTCCACCTGCTTATGGAACACATTAATTAAAAAAAAAACCAAGATGTTAATTTCAAAATCTTGTAACTAAAACAAAAGAAAAAAAGCCCAAACAAAACTTTTAAAACTTACAAAGGAGTTATGAGATCGTGCATGGTTTAAGGAGTTCTTTCCAACATATTTAACATAATGTTAAAATGTTTAATACGATTTAACTCTTTTGTTGATGCAGATCTTTATGAGATTTTAATAACGATGTATTCCAATTCACAAAAATGTTTGGACATTGTGTAAAGTGTAAATAACAACAAATAGCCCTTATTTGTACAATATGCATTTAATTTGAAACAAGTAGACGTACAACTTCCAACTCAAAAATAGTGTATTGACCAATTGCTGTAGTTTAAATAAAAATATTAATTTTTGATATGTCTGGACCTCCCTATTTGTATCATTATTTTTCAACGATGCTCTATTTTCTTTCAGTGAGAAACGTTCTGGATTGCTGACAGTCATGCCATTGTTAATTCAGCAGAATGTGTTTTGGCACTGTCTTGTTGAAAAAAACAATGGCTTCCAAGTATTCATGAGACTGAAGCTTGTCTGCATCTTGCTACAAATGTTATTTGTATATATATATATATATATATATATATATATATAT